CCCCAGCCCCATGGTGGCACCTTGGGGTCCCCACCCCTGGGATTTTGGGGTGAAAGGTGAAGATTTGAGAAGGAATTCCAAAGGAAATCCGGAATTTTCCGCGGGATTTTCTCTTTATTCCCACAGGGCATCGCCGACCCCCCCGAAATTCCCATTTTCCCCCCCAAAAATCCCCGTTTTCTCCCCAAAAAATTCCCAATTTTCTCCCCAAAAAATTCCGAGTTTTCTCCCCCCCCCCAAAAAAACGGTTTTTCCCCCAAAATTCCCGTTTCCCCCCCAAAAAAATTGCCGTTCTGCCCCCAAAAAATTCCCGTTTCCCCCCCAAAAAATTCCCGTTTTCCCCCAAAAAAATTCCTGTTCTCCCCCCAAAAAATTCCCATTTTCCCCCAAAAATTTCCTGGTTTTCCCCCCAAAACCCGCGTGTAGAAAAGACGGGGACCCCCGAGCGTACAAAAAAGGGAGGAACTCGCCCCAGCCCCTGCGGGGTCCCGGAATTCCCGAATTTCTGGAATTTCAGAATTCCCGAATTTTCCGGAATTTCCCGGCATTCCCGGAGCTCAGGCGCGCTCGCCGCGGATCCGCCGCGCCAGCTGGATGTCCTTGGGCATGATGGTGACGCGCTTGGCGTGGATGGCGCACAGGTTGGTGTCCTCGAACAGCCCCACCAGGTACGCCTCGCTGGCCTCCTGCACAGGTGAGACACAGGTGTGACACAGGTGAGACACGTGTGACACACACGGGGTCACCTGTCACCCCCCTGTGTCCTCGAACAGCCCCACCAGGTACGCCTCGCTGGCCTCCTGCACAGGTGAGACACAGGTGTGACACAGGTGAGACACAGGTGTGACACGTGTGACACAGGTGTGACACGTGTGACACACACGGGGTCACCTGTCACCCCCCTGTGTCCTCGAACAGCCCCACCAGGTACGCCTCGCTGGCCTCCTGGGACAGGTGACATAGGTAAGGGACAGGTGTGACACAGGTGTGACAGCCACAGGGTCACCTGTCACCCCCTGTCCCTGTGTCACCTCCCTGTGTCCTCGAACAGCCCCACCAGGTACGCCTTGCTGGCCTCCTGCACAGGTGAGACACAGGTGAGACACAGGTGTGACACAGGTGAGACACAGGTGTGACACGTGTGACACAGGTGTGACACGTGTGACACACACGGGGTCACCTGTCACCCCCCTGTGTCCCTGAACAGCCCCACCAGGTACACCTCGCTGGCCTCCTGCACAGGTGAGACAC